CGCCACGCCGGGACGGGGACCCTGCGGGGGAGAGGCCTGGGGCCTGCGCGGGTTGACTGAAAACGCCGGCAGCGCCGTCCTCAACCGCCCGACTTTGCCCTTTTCGTTGCTGTCACGTTGCGTTTCCACCSCCGTCCCATTCCGAGCTGCGCGGGCTCCCGTGTCTCCCGCTCCGGGCACGGGTCCTGCTCGGTGCTCAGCGGGCTCGTCCCGGCCGCGTGGCCCGAGCGCGAGCCCGGTGCCCGGGCCTTCCTGGCCGGGGTCGGACCCTTCCTCACAGCCCCGTTACAGCGCCCAGTGTCTGTGACCGCGGGTTTAGCCTCGCCCTTGCTAATTAGCTTAATTTTACTGTACTATTTGACGAAACAGCAACGCGACAACAATAGGATGCCTTGTGCCCCCACGTGCTGTTGTCCCAGTGCTGCGAAGACATCCCGGATTTAGGTTGATCCAAACGGAGCCTGGAGGAGCTGGAATTTAGCTTTGCCTGGGAGGTGGGGAATCACAGGGGAGCTGTGCCCGGCTGGCCCACGTAGAGCTCTCTTAGCCCCAGACTGGTTCCCCCGGCACTGTTAGCGGCTGAGAGCTCACCGAGGGCAAATGTATTATCCCCTTTTGCTCAATGGATCTTTAACAAGCGGGTCCTGCAGGTCCTGATGCTCCCCAATGCCCCAYCCCCTGATCTGTGCCAATTTTGGAGGCGCTTTTGAGCGCTGGGATGAGACACCAGCCTCGCTGCGCCCTGCAGGAGCAAATCCAGGATAGGGAGCACASGGAACAGCATCTTAGTGACAGGGATGGGCAAGAAATTGGGGGTGTCTGACCCTGACAGGCGTCCTGCACGTTCGGTGGTACTGCTGATGGGCAGTATATCCATAGTGCTGCAACTCCACATGTGCATGGTACCTAAATATAGCAGCGCACTGAAATGAACTATTATTTTTAGTGCTGATACAGTTGTAATATAAGCTGRCCTGGTAATGAGGAAAGGGGAAGAGAGAAGCCAAGGGCCTGAGGCCAAGGGCTTGAGGTTTTGCTTTCTTTGCCTTTTCCTGCTTCCCACACGCTACCATCAGGCTGGTGGGCTGAAAGGGTCTGCGCTCTTGGATAACTAGAGGGTGAGGGAGGGGATTTTTCTGGCATTCTCGCTGAAAATCAGGAGTCGGAGGAAGAGGAGATGGTCCCAATGCAAGTCCCTCTTAACTTGTTCACCGAGGGAAAGAGTTTTGAGGAGAAATCCTAGCTCTACCCCATACCATGGTTTGCTTGGGACAGACAAATTAGTGGGGAGAGGAGACCTGTGTTTCCATCACAGCCCCTTGGAGCCCTGGTAACTTCTTAAGGGTTTTGTTGTGGCAGTTGGTGGCCTTAGGGGTGCCTCGTGGTGCCAGCAAACCTCAGAGAGGCTTTGGCCGTTGCYGCCAGATGTCCTGCTGTGTGCTCCTGATTATGTGTTCATTTGATTGCAGTTTGGTCATTTTTCCCTTCTTCAGCATGTTTCTAAAAGGGCTGCTTTTGTTTCCATGATATATCAGAACTAGGAAAAATCTAATTTTGCTGTTATTAGGAATATGTGCATGTTAGTTTTGCTTGCAAGAGTATTAAAAAATTGTTTAGAAATTGCATAAATCCAAGAAATTAAGGTAAGTGGGCTATGCTGCTATCCATGTAAGTGTGACAAATACATGTTTTGATGGCATTTTTTGTTCTCGTGCTCACGTTCTTTTCACGTGTGGTTTTCCCAATCAGGCATTACCGGAAGCGCTCCGCGTCGCGCGGGCGCTCGGGCAGCCGCTCCAGGAGTCGCTCTCCGTCGGACAAGAGAGGGAAGCGCGGGGACGACCGGCGCTCCCGGAGCAGGGACCGGGAGCGCAGGCGGGAGAGGTCGCGCAGCAGGGACAAGAGGAGGTCTCGGTCGCGCGACAGGAAGCGGCAAAGGTAGGGGATAGGGCTCCTTATCCATAAAAATGCCAAGCACCTGCATACGGATGTTCCTGTTCTATATAATTGGGGTTTTTTTGGTGGTGTTTGGGATAGATTTTACTCTGTTTAGTTTGCTTTTACATATTAGATGACATCTAGGAGTTTGTAAACTTGTAGTGTCCTTRAGCAGTGCTGGATTCCTTTCACAACCTGTTCCTTCAGATCAGTCTAAGATTATTTATGTTATCCTAAATAAATGCCATTTTGCTCTGTGGTAGACGTTCAAGAAGTAGAGAAAGGGAACGGAGCAGGGAGAGAAGAAGATCCCGGAGCCGAGAGAGAAGACGCTCTAGAAGCAGAAGTAGAGGGAGACGGTCTCGATCCCCTAGTCCGAGCAAGAACAAGAAAACAGAAAACAGGTATTTGTGTTYCCTGATAACTGTGGTTTGTTGACACGATATTGATTGTAAAACTGTTGGTAGCCACATAGGAATCATGAGGCAAAGCACGTGACGCTTTGGTTTGTGAAGCAAAGAGAATATTCAGCAAATGCTCTGTTGTGGTTCCCATTGCTTAAGGTGCCTTCCTGGATCAAATGTGTAAATATTCCCTACTTGAAGATGGTGAATACTAATAAAGCCTTGCATTAATTGGTTCTCCTGCAGCTTGGTAAGAAAGATCCAAGCCTTGGTTTACCGCTAATGTTGTGGCACCTAAGACCAAAAAGAGCAGTTAATTTCAGAGTTAAGACTGAACCTCATTCCGAGGTCTTGTTAGCGCTTCACTGCTGCCTCTCCTTCCTGTATATAATGCTCCAATAAATAATGCTTTGCGCCCAGCATGTATTAGCAAATTGATAAAATACAGGCACTCTCTGGTGTGTGCTAAGGACATTATCATTTGCTTTACTTAGAGAGAAAGGACTGTTTGCTTAAAAGTAAGTGTAGAATGCAAATATTTTCTAGTACTTGTGTACTTTATTGACTTTATGATCGTCACTTGTATGCCTGACACTGCTTCACTTAAAGCTTTGTTATCTTTGTTTTCATTGTAGTTTAGATGGGTTTATGAGCATAAGAAACTATGAAGTGCTATAAATTATTGGAGAATAGTAATATCAGCTTTAAGTGTTGCTAGTTGTGTCTCAGCTCAGTGTCTCATGCACTCATTTCACAAAAGATGTTTTTGATAGTTGTGATACATATAAAATTAATGCTAATCTGTATATTTCGTCAGGAGGACGTGATTTTTAGGTCTTTCAGCCAGTGCTCGGAGATAATTCCAGGGCAAGGTGCTCGATCACTGTACATGTCTCTAGAAATGCACTAGACWTTTTTTTTTAATCCCTTTTCTACATTTCTAAATGCTGTCTTCAAGGATATTTAAAATGAACTGTAGAACCATTAGAGTTTCACTCTCATGGGTTCTGAAAATGAAGCCTGCAACAACTTCTGTACATTTCTGACAGCTACAGGAAATAATTCCATGAAATTGAAAGGTTCTTTGGGAGGCAAAATGTGCTTTGTAAGATAGTAAAACCCAGAATCCTGTTCATGGCGTTAATAGCTTTGTTTCTGTTCAGCACATGTATATTCTCCTGAGAAAAGCCAGAACACTCTAAGTCTGATACACATGATCTTTGATCTTGCGTTTTAGATCAAGATCTAAAGAAAAAACTGATGGTGTGGAAGTTTCTAAAGAGAAGAAAAAAGAAAAAGATGACAAAGAAGAAGAAAAGGAAAAAGATGCTCCTCCACCTACTGTGGCCAGTGAGGTAATGATCTTACCAGTTTTTTTTCTAACTAATAGATTGTTTTAGTAACAAAAGAAACCCACATATTAGCTCCGGACAAAATCTCCAGTGAATTAGAGAGTTAGTTGCTGTACTCCYTTTGGTAGACTCCTGTTATGGTTGGCTTTTAGTTCTTGGCAGGAGGAATGTTTTTCTCAGCTCAAGATTTCAAGTTGTTTACACTGCAAACCATAGGAAGGTATGAAGGGCAGCTCATTTTTCACATTCTAGGTGTTGATAGAGGAGCTGAAAAATCTTTTGGCCACTGGAACTTGGCAAGAATCAAAGAACAAAAGGAAAGAGAAGCTTAATTTGCTTAGTGTCATGTTATGGAAAGATATGTCCAGGTGAAAAGTTCCTGGTTTAGTAATTTTAATTCTTCTGAAAACCAGCACTTTCAGCCCTTTTTATTAACAGTGGCAGTCCTGTCAGTGAGGGCAGCCCATACTTGAGCAATCGCAGTTTGTTCCTCTCAAAGGACTATGAGATATAGAGGGTAACGTAATAATTATTCAACCTTTTATAGATCAAAGGCAAAGATAAACTGAAACTCATTGTTGTAGAATATTTTTCCTAGTAAGTAAAGTGAAATTCCTTAAGTAGTTACTTGAAAAATTGTTTGCCAGCTGTTACCTTGAAAAAT